CACACACACACACACACACACACACACACACACACACACGAGTACATAGTACAAAACAAAGGATATCTATACTTTGTAACACGAATCTCAAAAGGTCTTATTAATAAAAACAAACGGGGTGCCAGGTATTAGGGTGAACGTTGAAAGACCAGAGAGACAGAACAAGCCACATCCCACCTCGCCTCACCAGTTCCTCAGCTGATCCTGTTCCTCAGACTGGAAGCCTGTGAGTCCTCATCCGGAATGGATCTCAGCTGAACTGCTGCTAAAAGCCTACAAGCTTAAAGGGGCTCTAGTTCCTGGTCCTCACGCCTTATAATACCTTTCTGCTTCCTGCCATCACTTCCTGGGATTAAAGGCATGTGTCACCATGCCTGGCTGGCTGTTTCCAGTGTGACTTTGAACTCCCAGAGATCCAGATGGATCTCTGCCTCCTGAATGCTAGGATTAAAGGCGTGTGCTACCACTGCCTAAACCTATGTTTAATATAGTGGCTGTTCTGTTCTCTGACCCCCAGGTAAGTTTATTGGGGTGCACAATATATCAACCACAATACTTCCCAGATCAGAATGGTCACGCTCCTGGGATATTCCTCTCTAGCCCCACACTTGCCCAAGGGCAGTAGCATCCCAGAATTATGCCTTGATACTCACAGCTCTCACCCTCTGCTATATCCCAGTCCTAAACCACCTCCCAAGCCTCAGATGGTACTGCATCACTGGTCCATTCCCCCTTTTGAGTTTCCCCAGTTTACTCTGAAACATCCTTCCAATCTGGGGTCCTTGCTCCAAATCCTTCACCATTACGTCACCGCTGAGATACTCTGGAATGAGGCCCCAACCTCCCTTCCCGGTCTCCACATATGCACGGTTTCCCCGCCAAACCCATCTCCAGTCCACAGCCAGCACCCACCACTGTCTCCTTTTACACGGGCTGTCTGGTGGGAGTCCTCCTCTCCACACACTAGCCAGCACTCAGCTCTGTCCCAGCATTCATCCACCTAGGCTGTGGAAAGTTTCATGAGCCTCCTTTAAGTTTTTATAAATCAATAAAATAAAAAAAATATTTCCTAGGAAAATTTTCAGTTATTTCTTGCTTAAAATAATTTTGTCATTATACAAGTTCATTTGTCATCATGAAGTCTGACCCTGCCAGATTCCCCAGAGGTCTGGAGGATCAAGGATTGATGACCCACTTTCAGGGCACAAGCCTAGTCACTTCTAAGGCCATACTAACCAACTTGCTCAGACTTTATTTGCTGTTCTTTTTTATTTTTTTCTGGAATGAGCTTGGGCACAGACAAATAAACACCCATTTGCCCGGAGGCAGGATTGCGTGGCAGGCAGAACTTGGAGTTTAATGGCAGATAAAAGCGATGCTCCAATCTCAGGGACTCAAGGATGTCCCTTCACAGCTGGCCCTTTGTTTCATGATGAGGGGTCCACATTGCATGGATGCGAGTGGGAATCCAATTAGAGACGGTCAGAGCAACCAGTGTGACTCCGACACACGTGACCACTCACGGAGTGTGAATCCCTTCCTGCGGGGTACAGGGCTGCCCTGGAAACATCCCTGTTTGTGTGTCAGAACAAAAGCTTTCTTTAGTCCTCCTCCACGGTGGTTGGGACCCATAAATGCCACACTTATGGCTGGTTTCCAATACAAATACATCGAGGAGCCAGCAGAGGCATAAACATGAAGCTAAAGCCAACGATGCGCATCTCCCTGTGAATTTGCCCATCCGGCCATTTTTCCACTAAGGCAGGGACGCAGCCGAGGGGACTGGAGTGAGTCCAGATGTTACTGGAGAGGTCTTGACCTCAGTGGTACCCAACCAGGAAACTGGAATAAAGTGCACTGTGAAGTCTGATGCGGGAAGTATAACTTCTGTAAAACCTGCCTGGCGGTGAAGGGTGATGGTGGCAGGCTGAAGGACTTGACCCCCTGTCCTGGACCAAGTCTCTCCTTTCTCTCTTCCTAAGGCGGTGTGCAGAACCAATGGCTTCTACTCCTTCACCGTGCCGAGCTGGCTCAGCCTTCCTAAGACCGCGCAGCCCCTGGTGAAGCGGGTCTGCGACACAGACCGCCTGGCCTGCAGCAAGACCTGTTTGAACTCGGCCGACGTCGGCTTTGTCATCGACGGCTCGAGCAGCGTGGGGACCAGCAACTTCCGCACTGTCCTGCAGTTCGTGGCCAACCTCAGCAAGGAGTTCGAGATCTCGGACACGGACACGCGCATCGGGGCCGTGCAGTACACCTACGAGCAGCGGCTGGAATTTGGGTTCGACAAGTATAACAGCAAAGCCGACGTCCTCAGTGCCATCCGGAGGGTGGGGTACTGGAGTGGCGGTACCAGCACAGGGGCCGCCATCCAGTATGCCCTCGAACAGCTCTTCAAGAAGTCCAAACCCAACAAGAGGAAGGTAATGATTCTCATCACGGACGGCAGGTCCTACGACGACGTGCGGATCCCAGCCATGGCCGCCTACCAGAAGGGTGAGCACTGCTGTTGTATACGTGGGCACAGAAGCATCTCTTGAAGGGGTGGAGGACCAGGGTCGTTGGTGCCCAGGGAGGGAACTGCCTTTTGAATGTATCGGTTCTGTCCATGACTTAAGAAAGTGTACACAGAGGGAGCTGGAGGGATGGCTCAGTGGTTAGCTCTAGCTATTTCTTGCAGAGGATTTGATTGGTTGCTTCATGCTATGTGAATTTTGTTGCTGTTCGTATAGAGTGATGTCCAAAGTGTTTTTTGAGTGAATAGTCACACTTAGTTTATTTCTAGAAGCTAGAGCCCCACTGGGTTCTCTCATTGGTTTCCTTTGGCACGTTTCTGATTTGGGGAACCCAGAAGGAAAATATACATCAGTCCCTTTGTTATTCTGCACCTATGTGGCTGTTGTGTAGTTTTTCCTGGGCAAAGTCTTCCCATCTCTAGTCAAAAGCCACCAAACAGCAAAACTGTTCTTGCTGCTCCTTGGCAACATTTTAAAACCCACAGCTGGCTCCTTGCATCCTAGACAATACCTAGATAGAAAAAAAGAAAAAAAAACCTGGAAAATACCACAAATTCGTAGCAAAACATCATTTCTTCTTGCTCCGTTCTGTACATTAGACGCCCAACATCAACTCGTCAGGAGGAGTATGTTCTCTGAGACTCTGGGCAGCACAATCCTTAGCTCTCCCTCAGTCCTGTGGGTTGTCTGACCTTCGTCGATTGTCACTCACTGTCTGTCTGTCTCCAACTCTCCCTCCTTTTTTTAAGGACCCAGGGGTATTGAATTAGGAGCTCATTCTGCTCCAGCATGGCCTCATCGCCACTTACTTCTTCATTATATCTGTAAAAGACTCTGTGCTCAAGTAAGGTCAAAAGACTATACACTCTTAAGACAATAGCTATATGAATTTTGTTGCTGTTGGTACAGAGTGATGTCCAAAGTGTTTGTTGAGTGAATAGTCACACTTAGTTTATTTCTAGAAACTAGAGCCTCACTGGGGTTCTCTCATTGGTTTCCTTTGGCACGTTTCTGATTTGGGGAACCCAGAAGGAAAATATACTTCATCAGTCCCTTTGCTCAGGGACATTTGCTTCATCCTCTCTTTGTCTCCACAGGGGTGATCACGTACGCCATAGGCATCCAATGGGCTGCTCAGGAGGAGCTGGAGGTGATTGCCACTCACCCCGCCAGGGACCACTCCTTTTTTGTGGATGAGTTTGATAACCTCTACAAATTCGTCCCCAGGATCATCCAGAATATCTGTACAGAGTTCAACTCACAGCCTCGGAACTGAGTTCGGAGCAGACAGTTGGCCACCTTACTGATTCTTGGGACGATCCCCCAGCATTGTCCCTCTTTCTGGGGCATAAGAAGAGGGCAGAGCTCGGGCAGGGCTTGGGGAAATGCATTCGTTGTTACTATCCTTTGCCGTTTGTGGTTTAAATGCTTCAAAGCCTGCCTGTTAAAAAACTGCCCATCGAGTCGAGGGTTGGGTCCAAACGCTGCACTGTTTTGCGTGGGTTGGAGTTCACGTTTTGACAGTTGTACAGATTCAGAAGACAGCTGTTATGACAGGTTTGAATTGAGCTTTTTATGAGAAGTGTGTTTTTATTTCTCATTAGAACTATGTAATCATTTTTATTATTTTTTTGTAGGAGTGGCTTAAATAAATGTTTAAAAGAATTTCATGGACATTTTCTGATCATGTGATAAGTCTCTAGGTTTGTGGTGGGGCCATCCTCTACTATTCCTTTTCTTGCAAAAAAAAAAAAATCAGTACTAGAGCTGGGTATGAACAAACATGAGGTGGGAGGAGCTTGATCAAGCTTCATATCCTCCACCAAGGACTGGTCTATCTGCCTGTAAAGTACACATTCAGTGCATGCAAAGGCATGGTCAGTGATGGGCAGGGGAGCACACGCCTACAATTCCAGCTACTCGAGAGGCTGGGGCAGAAGAGTCATGAGTTCAAGACTTGACTAGTCAACTTCATGAGACCCTATCTCAAAATATAAAATAAATGTCCAAACAAAAAGGACCAGGGTGTAGCTCAGTGGTAGAGTACTTGACCATCATGCAGAGGGTGCTTGGTTTGAACCCCAGCACTTTAAAATGTGTCAAGAAGATCCCTAGATATAGGTGACTATTTACTAAAGTTTTATTTTATTTAATGAAAATCTGTGGTGGGATGGAGAGATGGCTCAGCCATTATGAGCACTGGCTGCTCTTGCAGAGGACCAGGGTTCCAATCCCAGCATCTACGAGGCAGCTCACGACTGTCTCTAACTCCAGTTCAAGCAGATCTACTGCCCTCATTGACCTCCATGGGCACCAGGCATGCATGTGGTGAACAGACATACACGCAGGCAAAACACTTGTACACATAAAATAAAAATAAATAATCTTTTCAAAAATTGTGTTGAATGCTGTTCTGGCTGGAGGCAAAAATAAGAAATCTTGCAAATAAATAAAAACATCATAACAGACTTTGGGTCTGGTTAATTTGGGTCTGAGATGTTTTTATTATAAAAATTGAGGCTTTTATCCAGTGAGCAGAATTTACACCAAGCTTACAAGATGTCTTGATACCCATAAATAATACAGCACTAATTAAAAACACTGTGGGCTCGGCTGGGACATGGCGCTGGGTAAGGCATTTACTGTGCAAGCATGAGACCGACCCTGAGTTTGCCTTCCCAGCAGCCACTCAAAAGATGGATGGGCCGGGCGGTGGTGGTGCATGCCTCTAATCCCAGCACTCGGGAGGCAGAGCCAAGCAGATCTCTGTGAGTTCGAGGCCAGCCTGGTCTACAGAGTGAGATCCAGAACAGGCACCAAAACTACACAGAGAAACCCTGTCTCGAAAACCAAAACAAACCAACCAAAGAAACAAAAGATGGATGGATGGATGGATGGATGGATGGATGGATGGATGGATGGATGGATAGATGGATGGATGGATGACAACACACTTCTACTCTTAGCAACAGATAGCAGAAACAGGCAGATCCTAGGGACTCAGCTGCCAATCCAGCCCAAACAGCTCCAGATTCAGGGAGAGACCATCTCAATAAAACAACTTGGCAAGACAACTGAGAGAGAGATCCTAATGTCAATATCTGGCTTCTATCTGCGCCTACATGGCTAAGCACACATCACCAAATGTACACACACACACACTCATGAGTCCCAAATCCTCAGACGCTTGAGTCCTTTACATAAAACTGTATCATATTTCATATGGTTTCTGTGCATCCTCCCTCCCACATATTTACATCCTATCTAGATAACTTATAATAGCTAATATGATGTAAATATGTATTTCACTGGGCTGAGCAGCTGAGACAGTAGGTGAAGCATTTGCCAGACAAGCATGAAGACTAGCGTTCAGACTCTGGGCATCGACATAAATGCCACGTCAGCCCGGTGGCAGCTTTCTGATCCCAGCATGTGGGGTGTGGAGGCAAAAGGCCTGTAAAGGCAGGCTAGCGACACCAACTGAATCAACCGGCTCTGGGTTCAAATGGGAGGAGACTCTATCTCAATAAATACGGTAGAGTGGAATCAAGGAGGACACACATCAGCCTCTAGGCACACATGTGCACGCATGTGCATGCACCCAGGCACACATAGGCCCACACACGTGAAAACACATACATATACACCAAAAACACATTTTTAAAACTATATATTATTGTATTGTTTTGAGAAAAATAACAAGTCTTACATTCAGTGCTGTTTTTTTTTTTAATAAATAAATTTATTTATTTATTTTACATTCTGGCCAAAGTTTCCCTTCCTCTCCTCCCAGTCCCTCCCCCTCTCCCCACCCCCTATGTTCACCCCACCCCAAATCTACTCTCCCTCTGGTGGTTTGAAAGAAAATGGCCCCCAAAGAGAGTGGCACTATCGAGAGGTGTGGCCTAGCTGGAGGAAGTGTGTCACCGTGGGGCGGGCTTTGAGGTTTCTTTTGCTCAAGCTTCCCTCAGCTGACTTCCTGTTGCCTGCAAGATGTAGGACTCTCAGCTCCTCCAGCACCATATCAGCCTGCATGCCGCCATGCTCCCTGCCATGATGATAATGGACTGAACCTCTGAAACTGTAAGCCAGCCCCCATTAAACGTTTTTCCTATAAGAGTTGCCGTGAGCTGGGCGGTGGTGGTGCAACGCCTTTAATCCCAGCACTCGAGAGGCAGAGGCTGGCAGATCTCTGTGAGTTTGAGGCCAGCCTGGGCTACAGAGTGAGTTCCAGGAAAGGCACAAAGCTACACCGAGAAATCCTGTCTCAAAAAACCAAAAAAGAAAAAAGAAAAGTGATTCTGTGGTCATGGTATCTCTTCACAGCAATTAAAACCCGAACTTAGACACCCTCCTTTTCTGTTTAGGACCAAGCTACACAACTGTCTAACATATATGCAGAGGGCCTAGGTCAGTTTCATGCAGGCTCCCTGGTTGGCAGTCTCTGTGAGCCCCTGTGAGCCCAGGTTAGTTGGTTCTGTGAGTTTTCTTGTGGTGTCCTTGAAATCTCTGGCTCCTACAGTTCTTTCTCCCCCTCTTCTGCAGGATTCCCTGAGCTCTGCCTGGTGTTTGGCTGTGGTCTACACCTGTTTCCATCAAGTTGCTGATGAAGCCTCTCTGATGATAATTGGGCCAGGCACCAGTTTGGTCATGGGAGATGGACAGTTCAGGCTGTATACCCCCAATCGCTAGGAGTCTTACCTGGGGTCGTCCTTGCAGATTCCTGGGAGAGTCCCTTTCACTAGGTTTTTGCCCGACCCTGAAATGTCCCCCACCCTCTTTCCAGGAGTCTTTTTTCAGTACTTTTCCCCTCTCCTCCAACCTGATCGCTCATGTTCCCATCCCCACTTGCCCTCAGTCTACTCATGAAATCTCTTCTATTTCCCCTTCCCAGGGAGATCCAGGCATCACCCCATGAACTCACCTCCTGGTTATCTAGTCTCTCTGGGTCTGTGGATTGTAGCATAGTTATCCTTTATTGTAGTTAATATCCGCTTCTGAGTGAGTACATACCATGTTTATCTTTCTTGGTCTGGGTTACCTCACTTAGAATGATTTTTTTCTAGTTCTATCCATTTGCCTGCGAATTTCCTTGAGTCCTTGTTTTTAACAGCTGAGTAATACTCCACTGTGTATATGCACCACATTTTCTTTATTCATTCCTCGGTTGAGGGACATCTAGGTTGTTTCCAGGTTCTGGCTCTTATAAATAAAGCTGCTATGAACACAGTTGAGCAAGTGTCCTTGTGGTGTGATTGAGCATCCTTTGGGTATGCGCCCAAGAGTGGTATAGCTGGTCTTGTGGTGGACTGATTTCCCCTTTTCTGAGAAACCACCACACTGGCTTCTGAGGTGGCTGTACAAATTTGCTCTCCCACCACACCTATTGATGGTGTCCTTGGCCTCACAGAAACTTTTCAATTTCATGAGGTCCCATTTATTAATTGTTGATCTTAGTGCCTGTGCTACTGGTGTTCTGTTCAGAAAACTGTCTCCTGTGCCAATGAGGTCTAGATTATTTAGATTATTTCTCACTTTCTTTTCTATAAAGTTCAGTGCTGACAAGTTTAAAGAGGAAAAAACTTGTATTCTTCTCTTTATTACATCCCATCAGTTCCCCCCTCCCTCCACTCCTCTCAGGCCCCATCCCAACTGGCATGTTTTTTGGTTTTTTTTTTTTTTTTTTTTTAATATTCTTATCCAAGATTGGTTGAATCCATGGATATGGAAAGCCAACTATTTTCTTAGGGGCCTTAATAAAAAAAATTGTCCCCAATAAGCAAATATTAAAGAAAAATAATGTAATTTTAATTGTTTTGGTGCCTTCTTTCTTGCAAAAAAATGTGACCACAGTTTAGAAGTTAGATGATCGTTGACATAACTTTTCTCATCGCTGACAAAATGCCTGACGGAAGTTCTTTGCCTTTAAAGAAGAAAGGTTCACTTTGGTTCATGGTTAATGAAAGGATCCATGGTCCGTTGTGGTGGGAAAGCATGGTGACGGGCCTGTAAGGTGGCTAGTTGTGTTGTGTCCTGAGGAAGGAAGCAGAGAGAAGAATTCTCACAGTCAGCTTGCTTTCTCCTTTTCCCTTTGTATTCTGTCTGGGACCCCAATCCACAGGCTGCTGCTACTTACATTCACAATGAGTCATCCCTCCTGCTTACCCCTCTCTAGAAGCTCCCAGAAAGCCACACTCAGAGGTGTGTCTCCCAGGTGATTCCAAGTCCAGTCAAGACGACAACAAAGACAAACCTTGACGGTCACCCGAGTGACGGGTGTGATAATTGGGATGGGAAACGACACTTCTTCCAATGGGACACTGACCACAGGATGCCAACAATTATGTGTGTGTGCACCAGGTGGAGGGAAGCGCCCCAGGTAGAGGAGGAGCTGTGATGTCCTCAGACTTATCTGCACATGTCGTGTGTTCAAATTAGCAGAAATGATGGCAGGACTCAGAGGGAAAGAAAAGTAGTGATGGAGGAGATGGTACTTTCAGCCAGTGAGAGAAGGAGACTGGGGGGTGGGTGGGCTAAAGACAGCCATCACAGCACAAGATGATAACTAAGAGAGATAAAGGGGATAACTGGAATCAGGGGTGGGGGACAAATGAAGTGGGGGCATGTCTTCTGCAAGCTTGATTGTAGACGACTTCCTAAAAGGTCTTATTAATTAGCAATAATAATAATAAAAACTCAGGGCCAGGTATTGGGGTGAACGCTGAAAGACCAGAGAAGCAGAACAAGCCACAGCTAACTTCACCTTGCCAGTTCCTCAGATGATCCTGTTTCCTCAGACTGAAAGCCTCTGAATCCTCATCTGAATGGATCTCAGCTGAACTGCTGCTAAAAGCTAAAAGCTTAACAAGATCTCTAGTTCCTGGTCCTCACACCTTATATACCTTTCTGCTTCCTGCCATCACTTCCTGGGATTAAAGGTGTGTGTCACCATGCCTGGCTCTGTTCCCAGTGTGGCCTTGATCTCACAGAGATCCAGATGGATTTCTGCCTCCAGAAGGCTAGGATTAAAAGGTGTGTGTGTGTATGTCACCATTTCCGGGCCTCTATGTCTGTCTAGTGGCTGTTCTGTTCTCTGACCCCAGATAAGTTTATTAGGGTGCACAATATATTGGGGGACACACTATCACCACACTTGACCCAGGAGGAGGCTTACAGAGCACAGGGTTGTGTGTGCACAGAGCAGTTTGGAGATCCAAATCTTGGGGATAATGGAATAACATGGGAGGCTTAGCTGCAACGTCACCATGGCAACCTAAGTCATACTCCGTGGTACAGAAGCAGGATGACAGTGAAACCCCTAGAAACAGTCATTCAGGCACATTCAGACCCAAGCCCGAATGCTGTGCGGTTAT